GTTTGCCAAGGTTATTTTTTAATATATTCATACTCTCCTGATAACAACTAATCTATAATTTTACACTGATATGAAAATAAAATACTGATTGAATATAATATTGAGTATTTTTACTTCATAATAATTTTCTTTTTCAGAATATGTTAAAATATGATGTTTTGTAGTTGAATATTTCTTATTTATATTATGAATGTACCCAGACCTACCTAAAAGACATTTTTCTTGATTTTACAGGTAATGATGACACTAACGATTATTGGTTAATGCTTGGCTCTTTGATGAATTTGAATATGATGATTATAATAATTGGTCGTGTTTGACATATCAGCAACTGCGAATGGATTGTTATATATTTGAAAGTATTGTACTTGGTAGCATCATTTTGAAGAAATGGAGAGGACAAGGACACACTCATTCAGTTTTAGAGGAAAAGCTTTTTCCCACAAAGACACCATTGCAGTTGACAAAGAATTCAGTCTTTTTGTTACAGTTCATAAGCGCTTATCAGAAAATCATCCCATATTTTGAATTAAAAAAATTTGAAGTTAATGATGACTTAAAATTTTATTGAATTTCTGACGTTTTTTTTTTTATTGGTTTTTCGGCAGACAATATATCTTATAAACAAACTAAAATAATCAAATCAAAGATATAGTTTAACTATTATCTTTGATTCGTATATTTTGGTATATTTAAAAGGGACTTCAATAGTTTGGTCTCATATAACAGGAGTGTCTTTCAACCAACTATTATTCCCATTGTTTTCTGCATGTACAGTGAATAAAACCGTATCGAAATTAAAAAGATTGGTTAAATTGTCAAACTTATTTTTACCTGATTTTTTTTTAGCACATGCCTTACATGAGATGTAAACCATCATTACAGGCTGCAACCAAGTGCATCACTAATGTCACATGTAAACATATTTCACAATTGACATAAGCTGAGATAACTACACTATAATTTTCAGATGAGAGTAATAAATGCCATCATGATTCTATATTTCGATTTTCTTCATTCATCATATCATGGAGGAAATATATTAATATATTTCCTCCATGATCATATTAACATTTTTATAAATTTATGTTCACACTAGTACTTTTTTCATCTCTCTCAACTGAATTCATCTCTCTCAAATATATTACAGGGCACAGAATTAATGCATGTGAATTAAAATTGGCCAGTGGTATTTCAACCGCCTTCCACTCCCCTCCCCAAAAAGAAAAAAAATTACAGCTCAAAGGTCCGAAACGATTCTGTAGGGCATACAATCGAATCAGCGCAGGCTAGCCTCTCAGACATGGCTGCTTAGTTAGGCCTGCTGTAGACAACAGGTGGATATCTTTTTGTATCATTTCAATGAAGATACTGAGTAGGCCTACAACATAGGACTATACATACACCCCCTCTTCCCACACCCGCTTACGTTGGACATTATGTCGGCACTGCTTCTAGAGCCACCGCTGGTTTCAGGGCAAGCCTATTCGGTAGTTGTTTTCATTGACATGGTTCACTGATTATGAACTGAGCATGTGCACTAAGCATTCGCTTCGCTCCAACAGTGTTCGGTTGACTTTATTTGCATAACAAAAGCAGGCAGCTCTCAACGAATCGTCGGGATGGAAGAACAAAGGAACTATCGGGTCGTTTCTAATCTCCGTGTATGAGTTGTCTCAGGTTTTATTAATCCTGCTAGTGATTTCGTTTCCAGTGGTTACTTCGTTGGATAGACAGCTGTCTAGGTATGGGTCAATGCAACTTAACCTTCTCTCCATTTATGGTAATTATAATGTGCATGTCCTGGCGGAGGTTGGTACATGACTAAGTCTTCATACGATTAATGATGAGACCAAAACGGGATGAAGCTGAAGCAAATTGGTCTGTAAGATGCCAGCAGCCCCCCCCCACCCCCCGGTCGGGGAGAAAAAGCACAATTCTTCGAGGAGAAAAAATTATATGTATTTTTTACATATTCGTCCGGGAAATTTGACCCCTCGTCGGGACACCGCCCCCTCCCCCACCCCGTCGGGCAAATCCTGGCGCCACCCCTGGCCGCCGGAGGTCATCTTCGGAGTGAGTCATGAGGGTCATGTCGTCCGCTAAGCAAGTTCACAGATGATTGCCTGCTTAACTTTGGTGTTAGCTTGAAGCCTGCAAAGTCGAATGCTTTGCCGTCCAAGCGATATCTAGCCTAATGAATCAATATCTAGTATCGTCTGAATTTTGTGTGAAATTGATGAGTATGGCAGTGAGGTATAGGCCAAAAAGGAATGGAGCCAGTACACAGACTTGCTTCATCACATTTATGATTGGGAAGGGGTAAAAAAGTGTTTTGCGATCGACTGGGTCGAAACCTTGGTGAGATCGATGAACACCGTAAAGAGACCGATGTTTTGCTGGCGGTACTTTTCCTGGAGCTGATGACTGACAGATATCATGTCAATGGTGCAACTTTTAGCCCTCTATGGTTCTCGCACTCGGAACGGCTGCCTTCTTGAAGAATGTGATAATATTGGCGTCTGTCTGGTCATGAAGAATGTGCCCGGTGTCCCAGATCTTGCAAATGATATGATGGAGGCGCTGATGACAGACTGACTCTCCATGCTTCTTTATCTATGCAGGGATTCCGCCAGGTCGAGGAAATTTTATGGCTGAGACAACTTCCTGTAAGGTTGGGGGCTTGGCCATTTCATGACAGATGGTGGACTGTGGAAGGTTGTTTTTGCAGAGTTTTCAATTGAGGCTTGCCACTGAAGAGATTGTAAAAGTGTTCTGACTAGCGTCTATATATTTCTTTTGTGCCGCTTTCAACCAAACCTGGTCAGTATAATCGGTGACACCTTTCATACATGGGGTGTTCACTGCTTGGGGTCAAAGGTCACATAGGGTTCATTAGGGTAAAAAACTTTCAAAAAAATGAATAAAAGACTTCTTCTGTCACAAATATCATAGCACAGTCTTGTCCTGGGCACATATGTATTAGCATAATGTAAGGTCTTATGGTGTTCAGCGATTTACGGTTAAAGGTCATTAAAGGGTTATTCTTTTCTTCTCTCTAGTAACATTTCAAAATGCTGCTAATGGCAAACCATTGGACCAAATTCAATCAAATTTCGTCATTAAGAACCGGCGACACCTCCTACACCCCAGTCTGGGATCAGGGGTCACGTAGAAGTCATCGGGGTAAAATTTTCTAAATAGACCAATTGAGCTCAAATTTACCAGGAATGATCATTAGGACCTTCTAAATATGAAAAAATACTCTTCACCCCATATGTCAAAGTTCATAGGTCAAAAGTTCAAAATGTTACTAATGGCAAACGATTGAACCGAATTCAATCAAATTTGATCATTAAGAACCAGTGACACCTCCTACACCCCTGTCTGGCATCAGTGGTTACATAGGGGTCATCAGGGTCAAATTTTCAAAATAGCCCAATTGAGCTCGAATTTACCAGGAATGATCCTTAGGACCTTCTAAACATGAAAAACTACTCTTCACCCACAGGTCAAAAATCACAAGGGTCACTATAGTGAAAATTATCAAATATTGCTAGTGACTAACGATTGGACCAAATGCATTAGACAGACTCCTACCAAACATGGGGTGCTCACAGGTTGAGGTTAAAAATACAGTGGTTATCTCTTAAAAATGACTGGGTTTATGTTATATTGAACATAGTATCTCTAGTTATTATTATTATTATTATTATTATTATTATTATTATTATTATTATTATCTCATCATTATTGTTTTTATCATTATTATTAAAAGAAAACTGGCTTACATTTCGTATTTTCTTTTCTTTTTTTTGCATTGGTGTTCAGTTATTTTTTTTCAGATAATTTCTTTATATATTTTTTTAATTTGAGATGATTAGAGACATATTAGGTAATGTTAATAATAGTAAATATACAACAGTTTCTAAATGAATAATATCCCAAGTCTTCCGGAGCTCGCGATAGTCTTCCGTAAATCAGAACAGTTTCCCGTACTCCCGCAAGCAAGTTGTAGCGTAGTGATGAGGCCATGAATTAAGTACGAAAATCCACCCCCCACCCCAACAAAAATAAGAAATTAAGCTTAGAATTGTACTAAAGAGAAAAGAAAGGATTTGAGCCGAGACTTGAATTGTCTTTAATGACGAAATAAATGATATATCAGGGCAGATCCGGGAATTTGAAATACTGTAGAGGGTACTGTACATAGGATTATATCTTTCAATAGATGTCAGAGACACATGCTGTTACGTATCAACAAAGGCATTGGTGCTACATCGATGAACGTATCATGGGGTCTAGTCCTGATGACTGCCGCAGAAGAGCGCATAGGTTTTTCGCTACTGCGAAAAAGCG